AAAAAAAAAAAAAAAAAAAAAGACAATCTGGTTCGTTACCAGTTTTGGTAATATGCCTGACGTCACAAGATGGCGGCCAAAACGCTTTTTCGGACCTTATTCAGCCCTTTGATTCCTTGAAAAAAAGGCCCTACTCATTAGCCTTTGCCTGTTTAGACTCTATTGTATAACTAAGGACGCCTTATTTACGATGTACAGTTGAAAACAAGTATGAGTTTTCCAAATTTTCGAGTTTTTAGATCGCCTTTGTTTGTAAAAATTTAATCACAGAGTGGGACAATCAYGAACGGAACCCTGAGATCCATGCTAGGTGGAAGCCCAAGATCGAATTGGAATTGACCTAATTCATGATCACTATGACGCCACTGCTTGTTTATGTGGGGGATAGAATCGCCAAATCCAATAGATAATTCAGCTAAATTTGCTCCTAGCGAAATTTTTTAATCTAAAATGGCCTGGTTTTCAGATATAATATGTGTTAATATGTACTAAAAAATATTCTGAGCGTTTGCTGGCTATTCTACTCCTCTTTGTGGAATGATACGGGATTTAGAACAATTTTCGGTGAATTTGCGTTGATTTGGCCCCGTCCCACGACCATGATCCTTTGCGTTTAAACAATAGATTATTGAAGATTGTTTTGATGTGACGTCATAGTGAAGTAGGGCATTGATTTTTGCGGAGGGAKGAAAACCGGAGAACCCCGGAGAAAAACCCTCGAAGCACAGGAGAGAACCAACAAACATCTCGCTCACGTATACGAAAYCGAGCATACGGGCTCGAACTSGGGTCGCATTGGCGAGAGSCGGYGCATTAGCAGYGCACGCCACCCGTGCTTCCCAACAGCTGAACCTCATACGAGTAAAAAAGCAAGAAAGCAGTGTGCTTTGAAGTGAGTATTTATTAGCCGTTTTCACTGGTAGACTGGTTAGTATATATTCTGGGATCTTTGGATTACTTTGCAGTACTTTGTTGGTGGAAACGGACCAACTGAAACATGGCCGGATCATCCCATTCCGGCTGCACGACGCAGCACACAGATTCCTGCGAGAACACCCACCGCCATCCAAAAGGACTGACAAGTGTCAACCCACGAGGTGAAATTTCCCCACCACCTAAGCTCAGCCGCCAAGAGTGGAATCTACCTCAGTGTGAGAAGGAGAAGTTCAAGCTCCCCGTGTAGAGTTGTATAAGTATATCGTTTTGTCTGACATGACCCAATTATTTTACAGTTAAAATTGGCTCATCAGGCRAAGAAACGCACAGTATTAAGCTATTTGTTTTCACACAAAATATCCACTTCACCATTTTTTCAGTTCTTAATTTTTGTTTGGATTGAGCTGATTGAGGAGATKTTCGAGTGCAGATCTCAACTTGAACTCTCTACTCGCAGGATTGCTAGTATTTGTTAYGGGACAACCGCTCTCGGTAGAAGCTTCGGGACCTTTATTCTACTCTACTCTGCTKAACTGATTACATGAGCTGTATTTATAATGATTCTACGACAGGTGTCAATCTCTAATCTGTATATCGTAAATGTATAAAAAAAGTTTTCTAAAATAACTGAGCAAAGGGTAAAAACTCTATAGGGCGTAACCAGTCTAGAGGTACAAATGCTAATGGGAGGAGCTAAGAGGTTCGGTTGTAAATTCAATGCATACCAATATTTATATTTGTGCGTGATGGTAGCTGTGTTGAAATATTATTCAAATGTCGCTCTTCTCATGCAGACTCGTAACCAGTCGCTTCTCTGGTCTTATTGATCTCACGCTGTAGTTGGTGGGAGGGATTTAGTGAGTTCCCGGTGCAAAGCGTGAAACAAATGAYGACTGGGTACGAGTCTGCTCCTCATGCACTAAATGTAAATAATTAGATTCGACGCGGCAAAAGATCGACGTCTGAACCGGACCTAAGACTTGATGTCTGCTCACAAGAGTGGAAGACGAACTATTCAGCGTATAAACGTGACTGAACCTGAGCCTCGCAGTTATTGAACCAAAAGATATGGCCATTATAAGTCATTCTGTCTCTATATCAATCCCTCTCTTCGGTTTATAATTACTGAATAATTAATTGTCAAACCATAGTTAAAACAAACTTAGTCGACCCTTTTGTAAGGAAGCTGTATGTAATTTCTTACGTGCGCTCTAAGTCGTGGAGTGTTAAGGTTTTTTTTGTAATTTTTTTTTGTCAGGCAAAATGTTCAATTATATAATTTTTTGGAAGAGTATTAAAATTATGTCAAAAACACTTTTGATAATTTTGTAGACCAACTCAACAGCCTTTCGCGTTCCACTTTAATAGTTTTAACGGTTCCTCTCAACTTGTTTTGAAGAAATAATATATACTAGCCYTAGAGTGACGTCAATCGTATAAGGAAAACAAATTCCGGTTACGAACRAAAAGYAGTTCTATAAWTATTTTTCTTTTCTTTTTAATTTCTTCGTAATAGTTAACTCGTTGTCCCAGGCTCTAATTGTTTCATTCGGAATKATAAGAACATTTCCCGTTCTCTTTAGAGATTTTTGTGAGCAGCTGAACCCAGAACTGAATACGTCATTGACRAAGGCTTAAGAGTCCTTCTGCATGTATCGCAAGCCTGTTTTGTCCTTCGTTAGATTCATTCTACAGTAAAGCTTGGGTTGTTCCAGCCTCATTATAGCTCTATAGCYGCACAATCGTTTTTTTCCCGCGGATCCGACTTAACGTTTACCAAAGTTGAATTATATTACTGTTAAAATTAAGGGAGAGGAAGATTTCATTTTAGTGAAAAATTCCAGGTTTCAGTTATTCAGATAATGATCAGTTATCTGGAAACCCTCAATACAAAGCAAATAAAATTTAATTGCCCATTTAAAGGATCTTGYATTGATTGCATTGAATTGGATAGTAACTAGCCCTTTGCGTGTTTTAAAAGAAAATGATACAACGTGTCACATGAACTTCTATTCAACACATGAGCAGTCAAACAAAACTAGCTCGACATTCAACATTTTAGTAGTTCTGCATTGAGTGTATTATAAACAAAAAATCACACAACTTTTCTCTTACAATTAGAGTTTTGAACCTAAATTGTAAATTGTATCTTTCCACTAGCTAAAGATGAAGGTTTAAAAAAAGAAACCCAACTGAGAAAAACATTCAAGCATGTCGTAATGAGTTGTTTGTGAGAAAAATATGCTAAACATCCGTAAAATAATGAATTTTTTGTAAGAAAAATATGCTAAAATTCATAAATAGGCTTTCGTCACGATATGAATTCCGCATTCAATCTTCTCTGATTGGAAGTGCGAAGAAGTCGCTAAAATGGCTGCTCTAAAGAAGTTGAAGTTAACACTAAAATTTGCAGCTATCTTGCTGGTCTTAGCACAACAAACTGGTAAGCATAATTCTCGATCTCATTTATCCTAATATGATATTCAAGATATATACAATACCGATTTCCACCAAAGTTCTTTTTATAAAAAGTTGATTCAATRCTAAGGCAAGAGTATAGAAAAATCTAGCAAGGAAACTCTGGTACTGAAGCTAGAGCCCATCAAACGTCGCTACGTGAGCGCCAAAAAACTAAAGCGAGCGACCTAAGTGGATGATAATTATTCATGTTAAGTTACTTGTCTTGATCAGTTGTTTTCCTGTTGCAATTCTACAACCTTTTGATCTTTTTGTATCATAAACATAATTTATAGAACCAGTAAAAACCAACAAAATTTCGCGATCGAACAATTGGCAAAAAAATTYGGATTCGAGATTGTAGTCGGGAACTGCCGGAATTTTTTTTATCATCACCTGTTCCAATCTTATGAAGGCATTTCAGTTCATTTCTCGGCTACGATATAAAAACAGCGTCACACTTGCCGAATGCRTCTTTCAGTAATTTTCTCAGGCAAACGTTGAGTGAGCTCTTTTAAGGGCTTATGTAGTAGAGTCTGCTTCATTTACATCTTTATATTTTTTACATTTTTAATAAAATATTAGTTTTATGGATGTCAAATTTTATATCTCCTTAATTATAACGAACATAGTTTGTATTCACATCGTTTGTATTTTGTTTAGTACTAAATTTCTAATAGAGTCATACATTGTCATTCACATTTGTTTATGTGGCGTTAGTGCACGTATTTCAATCATTCTCAAAACATAATTTAATTCGGATCAAAAGAGAGAAAAACAGAAAATAATATTTTTGAATATATTTTGATACCTTTTATTCAGAAAACAACGAACACRACARTTCTGAATTTTTTATTTCTATAAAYAGGTGTTGCACRCTCCATTGAGTGCTACATGGATACACGTCTTGTATCGCCGTTCTATCAACAGCTTAAGAACGAAGTAGACACTGATTGTTCTGACAAGAACGCTGTCTGCGCGTACTTCTACATCAACGCTACTACCAACCTGACCAGGGATACTCCAACCGTACCGGAAGGATTGCCGTTAACGTATATTTTCCAAGGGTGTAAGATGAAGGAYTACTGTGAATCTTTTTGCAGCGGGAATGTTAATCCTTTTCCAAACAAAACTGTTGGCTGCTTTAGAATATGCTGCAATGATACTAACTATTGCAACACTGGTGAAACTTGTAAGTATCGATTTTGATGTGAATTAATCGACTTTCTATTGCCCCGTCCACACTATGCCGGATAAATTTGAATCCGAATTTTTATTCATTCGGTTAGGCCTACCGTCCACACTAGTCCTGGCGAATCTAAACAATTCTTYACCGAAAGCGAATTTTTTCGAATACGGTCTCCAGAGTGGAACAATTTGAAAAAGTCCCGCTAGCCGTATTAGTGTGGACGGAGAATATTTCGTATCCGAAATTTTTCGAATACGATGACGTCGTGATTGTCATGGGAACATAGCGGGAAGCTAAAAATTCGCCGCAGGCTCAATTTCAGCTTCGATGCACATGCTCTGATGTGCAATGTAGCGTTTTTGCCGCCTCTGATCGGACTAGTGTGGACACGAAACATTTTATCCGTTTTCATGTGTGGACGGAAAACGTTTTTTCGGTTTCGGTGTGAAAGTTGCGGATTCAAATTTATTCGGCATAGTGTGGACGGGGCCTAACTTAATTAAACGAAGGATGGATTGACTGACTTGCCTACTGACTGATTGGACGACCGACCGATGAACAATCGACCGACCAATCAATAAACACACTGCCCGTCTGACTGTGGTCTGACTACTGACTACAGGATAAGTGACTGACTGACCGACCTTCCGGTTGACYGACCGATATTTTTACCTGATTACCTGTCTCATGTTGAATTTAGTTTCAGCGTGTTCTGCGGAAAACCCCTGTTTGAATTACGGTGAATGCAAGCGTGTCCAAAACTCGACCTACTGTCAGTGTCGTCCGCCATTTTACGGGGCTCGATGTGAAAAAAGTGAGTACACATCCTCACTGTAGTTTATACTCTTAAAAGTTGAACGTTTTTTTTTGGTTGGATTGATATATTGCTTTTAGGCACCGTTCATTATCTATGCCCCTTTTTGTGGTTGGGACCCCTTTCGAATTTAAGCTCTCCTATGACGACAGTTATTTGAAGACCCTCTCAGTTACATTTACCCTCCCCCCGTCTGCAAAGATGAAAAAAAATATAATTGCTAATAGACAACTTATTTTGGGCTGAAACTCTGTCTCCCTACTAATGCCGAGATGGAAGGGAGATGGAGGAATTTTATGCAATATATTATTGTGTTTTTCTGATCTTTTGATTATTTGATTTATTTAAGTTCTGCAGGGCCTACTATAAAACACTTATGTGAAATAGGCATTCCTGAATAAAGATCGATTATCATAATAATAATAATAATAATAATAATTTATTATTATTATTAATAATACTTATTATTATTATGGTAAACTTTATTGATAGAATTGATAATTATTGATAATTGATAATTGATATCATTATTATTCTTATTACTATTATTATTATTATTACTATTATTATTATTATGCTCTTGTTACACACGGTACTTTCCGTTCGAACCAATAGCTGACACGTTTTTGCTGGAACTTATATTTACTGCTTCTTTCTTTGAGATCTATGCTCAGTACATGTGTGTAAGAATATATCCCTATATATATCTCTGGTTACAAAACTACTATCTGGTTACATGAACATTTCGTCACACACTCTAATATTTACATAAAGACTTAGTCACGAAATGCCGTACTAGTTTTGTGTCTCACACTCTTATTATTATTATTATCAGATGAAATCGTTTCTCTTCTTTTTTATTTTGACAAGACTGCTCAATTTAGCGGAGGTAGGGTCAAGTGACCTGCACGTCTATTACAATAGACCATTTTGGATCTCCAAATTAGTACCGTTGTTTTCCTTGATTACAGACTCATTTATTCAGGGTTTTCCTCATTTTAGTATCTAAATACTCACAAATACCAACAGTAAAAAATAGCGCAATTTCAAAAATGCAAACCCTTTGAAATTCCACGGACCTTCACTGCACAAAATCTGAGCAACAGAGAACTCAAAATTCGATTATTGCAAATAGCTTAAAGTGCACATGAACCCTTGTATACGTTTATACTTCTAATACGGTTAATGACTGTGACATCTATTAAGGTATTTAAGTGTATTTGTTGTAACTCGTAATACTAAATGCTGGCCAT